TTTGTAAAATTCGAAAACCGGTTTAACCGTTTCTTTTTTGGAAAAACTGGTATTCGAAAACCGGTTTTTTCAAAAGTCGATTTTTGTATAAACCCTAATGCTCAATATATTGACCGAAACATGTGGTGGTATGAATAAATTAGACAGATCGCTATAATGAGGTATTGTGAACGAATTCAAATTCGTTGTATTTGTAATACACCACGCGGCATGATGGATGAACTTAAAATTGTTAACATGCACTTAATTCTACGTGAAGGCATGCATGAACGATTTAGTGTTTCGTTTCGTATTAATAAAATTTAATTAAGGATATCATATAACAGTTGTAGTAATTATTAAAATCAGTAGCTCATGTCATGTACATTTTTTATATCGCTTACTGTTTTTGGTAGACGTAATAAAATGTTAAAGTGGACTCCGTAAATATAACACGCGCATGCTCGTCACACTAACCTTGAGGACTCCTGCCCTCTGCACGTGTCTTTGCTGTTGTAATTGCAGATTTTTATCCATCCCTCCTCATCGCAATCCACACCGTTGCCACCACCAGCTCCTATACTTAGCTAAATTGTGAGGAAATACTACACAGCTTTACGCCGGTTAAAATAAAAGAAACTCCCAGCTACTCTGTTGGGTCTGCGGAGGAACTGAATGCCAAAAATGAAGGCGTACTATGTTTAAGATGTTGAATAGCGGTAATGTATTAATATAACGGTTGGCACACGCCAGTTAAAATAAATTAACCTCGTGGGTACATGTAACCTCCAGTTGGGAAGAACGAAGTTAATTTCTGAATCAGTACTGGCACGGCCAGTTAAGTATAGAAGTTATTGCCAACCACGGTTTTGCCAATTGTTCATATGACGTATCCGCGGCGTCTTCTTTTATATGTGGTCTAGCGGTTAGAACGCTGGCCTTGTAATACTGGGGTCTCGGGTTCGATTCCCGGCGTTGCCCGAATTTATAACTTGTGTAGGGCAAGGCCGTGGTCTAGGCAACACGGAATTTTCCTCCGGGGGCTTCCCCGGTTTCTCCGTGGCATCCCAACAATTACTCCATTCACACACAAGAAGGCAATGGCAAACCACTTCTGGATCATCTGCCAAGAACGTATATGAACAGGTCCCAGTCCGAGAAAAGGATGGAAGGATCCTGTTCATATGGACCTGTCGTCA